ACCTTTAAAACTGAGGGAGCTCTGAATAGCTCTTAATCTCTGATGGATCGATCATTCAGAAGGATCGTTTCCTAAAGTCACTGTTATTCCCAGGATAATATTATGCAGAGGAGCCACCCTGGGAAGCCACTCATTAACAGCAATGAGACATCAGGGATCTTACTGTCAACTAAGAAACAAGAACATTACTAACAACTACAGAAAAGATGCTCCTGTCACTTTGAGTCATTCTTTCGATGGTTCTCATGGGTCCATCCATTACTTTCCTTTCTCATGGCAACCACTGTACTTTAGTCTATCATTAGCTCATTTGCAGACTACCATTGACCCAGCTAGTCTCCCTGACCTCATCCTTCCAGTTCACCCTTAACATCAGTGTCCAATAATTCCTTTTTTTTTCAATTTTTTATTTATTTATAGGCAATTGGGGTTAAGTGACTTGACCAGGGTCACACAGCTAGTATCAAGTGTGTGATCTGAGGCCAGATTTGAACTCAGGTCCTCCTGACTTCAGGGCCGGTGCTCTGTCCACTGCACCACCTAGCTGCCCCCCAACGATTCCTTTTGAAATACCTTGGATGAGGTCATCGATCTGATTAAAAACTTGAAATGACTCCCCATTGGCTAGAGGACAAAACTAAACATCTTCCCGAGGATTTGTCCCACTCACATTCAGATGGTTTGCAGCATTGCTTCCTAACTGGTTCGACTGTGGCCTTTATTTCAACTACCAGATTTTAAGTGCCCACTGTCGGGGGTCATCTTTTATACGTCATTAATGCTGCTCTTTGTCAACATAACCTTATCTAATAGATATGAAGATGGTAAAAGTAGCACAAATGAATTAATCAACATTTTGTGTCTGGCCTTCGGTGCCAAAAATGTGTCCTGATTTCTCTGGCGGTTATCCTGGCATGTGGAAACATCTAAGATCATAGGGCCATAGACTGTGAGCTGAAGGGACCTCAGGGGACTTCTCATTCAATCCCTTATTTTACAGATGAGGAAACTGAGGCCCAGATAGCTTAAGTGACTTATCCAAAATCACACGGGTTGTAAGAGGTGAAGCCAGGATTCTAACTGAGGTCTTCTGAATCCCAGGCTAGGAATCATTCCACTTCACCAACTGTCTCTTTGGTTTGCTGGAACTGGATCAATCTCCAGTTCTCCACAAAGTAACAAAAGTAGTCAAATAATACCTGGTGCTCATTTAGTGCATTAAGGTTTTCAAAGGACTTCATTATCATATATGATCCTCATAACAGCCCCAGGAGATGGAGGCTATCATTGCCCCCATTTTACAGATGAGGAAAATGAGATTCAGAATGGTGAAATGATTTACCTGTGATCACGTAGCTACTTATCGATGGAGTCAGAATTTGAACCCAAGTCTTCTGGACTCTAAGTCCAGCAATCTATCCATTATGCCAAACTGCCATTGTGTTGCTGAAGCCCAGCTCAGTCACAAGAATCATAGAATTAAATCTGGATCATCGAGTGGTTAAATTCACCCTCCTCTTTTTACAAAGGATAAACACGGGGATCAGAAAGAAGTGATACACCCAAGGGCACATGTGTAATAAGTGGCCACACTGGGATTGGAGCCCAGTGCCCCTGATTCCATTTTGGTGCTGTTTTCACTGAATCTAAGATATGGTAGTGGCGTTCAGATCAGCCCTGCTCATCCATCTTCATTATAAAGCATCATTGCAAGGCTCCTTTTTTGACATCCTGAAGAGGATGTTTGTTCAATCCAAGATTCCAATTCCCCCAAATAGAACTGATCATTTAGCCCTGAGGAATCAATCATGCCATATCGATAGCCCCTTTATGCGGTCCATAACAAGGTAAACACATCTCTTACTAATGTGAAGAGACTTGAACTGTCTCTCTGGAAGAAACGCTAGAGAGCTTTGGTTTTCAAAGTTCATGACAGAATATTCGCAGAATCATAGGACCACAGAATGATAGAATTAGAAGGCTGTCTTGTCCAACCCAGGAGCTGAATAAAACCCCACTAGAGCATTCGGGTGATCTTCGCTTGAAGACCCCAGCGATGAGAATCCATTTCTTCCCACAGTAGCCCATTCCACATTTGGTTAATTCTAAGGGTTAGGATGCCTCTCGTGGCAGCTTTCTGGCTTAAATTAATTTTTGCTAATTATGGGCTAAGTTTAAGCCTAAATCTGCCTTATTGCAATTTCTACCTGTTGCCCCTCCTCGTGTCCTCCAGAGTGAGGAAGACTGGGGTCCTACCCACCTGACATTCACCAGCTTCATGACAAAGGGTAAAACACTTAACCCGATACCGGAGTCAGAAAGTCCTGGGCTCAAATCTCCCTTCTGATACTCATTAGCTGTATAACCCTTAGCCTCAGTTTTCTAGTCTGTAAGTTGGGGATTCTAATACCTATGCTTACTTTATGAGGGTTGTAGTGAGGCTCACACAAGATGAAAAGTGCTTCACAAACCTTTAAGAGCTCGATATATTTCCATCATTCTCAAGGCAGTGGAGTAACGGAAAGAAAGACAGATGAGGAGGCAGAAAACCAGTGGGTTTACGTCCTGACTATGCTATTTATTATCTGTGGGACTGTGGGGAAGTCCCTGAGCCTCTCTGAACATCACTTTCCTATTCTGTAAAATGAATAGGGTTGGGTTGGGTGGTCCCAAAGGTGTCTTCCTGCTCTAAAGCTAGGAGCCTATGAGCATTTTTATAACTATCATGGTTCGCAGGCTAAACTGAAGAGGGATGGCCTTCCCATCGGGCTAGAAGAAGGAGAATGCCACTGAGCCACACCGGGACAAGTAGCCACGTAATACATGTTCTCTTCACTGCTCAGAGTTCCGCAGGAGAGAGAAGGCAAGGCAGCATGGCCCCCCACAACATGCTTCTGCCACCCCATGTGCAAAGCTGAGGCGAAGGCCGGGGACTCCCCACACACAATCCTCTACACACTGAAGTCATTATCTCAGCTGATGCCATGACTGGCATTTACTGCTTATTGATGGGCTAGGCACTGGTAGCTTGGTAGGTAGTCCCCTTGCCTCAGGCCCAGGAGGTCAAGGGTTCACATTCAGCTTAGGGAAAGAGCTGGCCCTCATCCAGGATTGAGGGTGGGCTTTGCTTGGCTCTGGGAGGGGTGTCCTGCAGGGAGGCCTCCTCTGTTCCTGTGGTCAGGGGAGAAGCGGGCTGGCCATGAGAATTAAATTCAAAATGCCTTGAGCCAGAGAGGGGATTGGAGTGCGGTTGCTGGAAATAGGAGGCTTACTAAGGAGAGCAGAGATCCCTCGCGCTTATGAACTTCTCAGACAGAAAACACCCTTTTCTGTTTGCAACTAATTCAACCCACTCCAACCAACCAATCGAGTAGTCCACAAGTGTTACCTACTATGTTCTAGGCACTGCATCTATGCAGCACCTACAAGGTGCGCTAGACACAAAAATAAGAGTTCCTACCCTGAAGGAGTTTACATTCTCCTGGAATTACATACTCACAGACAAGGAAATACCAAAAAATCCTAGAGAATGTATACCAAGAAAGGGGCAGGAACAGGAACAGTTAGGGGAGTGAGCAAAGTGCTCAGGAGGACAGGGTGAGGTCTTGAAGGACACAGGGAGGTTGAGAATAAGAAGGCAGAACTTTCCAGGGAGGGGGACAGTAAGACATACAAGTGGTTATCTAACTCTGGGGACCATCTGGGATACTTGCTTTCAATGTGGCAAATGTTTTATAAAGTACTTCCTACGGGTCAGACAAAGAGGGGAGGGTTCTTGCTCTCAGAGAGCTCTCAGTATTTGTGCTGGTATCAATTAGAGGAGAGAGGTGGTTAGGTGGCTTAGTGGATAGAGCACTGTGCCTGGGATCAGGAAGATCTGAGTTTAAATATGACTTCAGCTGTGTGACCATGGACAAGTCATTTAACCTTGGTTTGCTTTAATCCACTGGAGGAGGAAATGGTAAACCACTCCAGCATAATGCCAAGAAAGCCTCATGGTCAGTAGACGTGCCATAGTCCGTGGGGTCATGAAGAGTTGAGCGCAACTGAACAAGAACAAAGTCAAAGAAGGATGTGACTGGGTGTGGAGAGACCCCAGAACAGCGGTTCTCAGGGGACTTGCTGTTACAGGCACATGGCATGAGTTTCACTAAGTATGTCACAAAATCCAAGATTTTATGTCATTACAGATACAAGAAAATTTAGAAAGGATTCTACTTAACGCAAATTTTCCTTCCCAATAGACATAGCATAGTAAGTGTAAGATTTGCAAAGCAAATAAAAGCTGCCTAGTACACATATTTACTAACCTCTAAACACATCTGCCACAGTCATCACAACAAACTCAGCTGAAGCAATGGCTGTGCCTGAAAGGAAAGTGCGCACCTGAAAATCTCCTAATTCTCTTGTGGGACTGCTGAGCCAAATACTTCACGTGCCACGATTCCTGGTGGTAAAGAAGACCATGCCCTGAACAAAAATGTTCAAAAACTATTGCTAGACAACCTAGAGTGTTGATCCAGAGCTGAAAGGACCTGCCAGGTCACGTCATCTTGTCTAACACCCTCATTTGACAGATGAGGAAACTGAGGCTCAGAGAGGTTATATCACCTTTCCATGGGTGCACAGCTAGTACAACTTAAACCCATGGCTTCTATTTCCAAATCCAATGCTCTTTCCAAGGTGGTTAGTAAATTAAGACATTGACTACCACCCCAAACCCTAAATGCTGTTCCATGACAAAAGATGTTGGCACTCCAATGGGCTTGTGACTGTACAAGCCTCTTTGAGGCCCAATCCTGCCCACCCCACATCTTCAAACATTCAGAAAAAATAAAAGTAAATATTGGACCTGCTCTGGTGTCAAATTGTTACTCGGTCCTCCCAGCAGTATCCCTCCTCCTCTCCTCCTCCTCCTCCTCTCCTCCTCCTCCTCCTCCTCCTCCTCTTCTTTATAGACAGGTAAAGATGGAGCTCTTGAAGGAATTGGGGGTCACACTCTAGGCAAAGGTTGGACAGGTGATCAATGAGCGGCGTGAGACTTTGCCGTGGTCATGTGCCTCCACCAGTGGCTGGATCATCTGAGACAATGACAAGCAGAAGCAACAAGAGGGTGGCATTAATAGGTAGAGGCAATGCACGGGGCGGGCACTCTATGCAGCTCCCCGCTGGTGTTCATGCTCTGGAAGACAATGGAAAAGACCAGGCTGGGCTGGGCTCGAGGCTCCCAGACAAGGGCTCCGATTCCACAAAAGCTCTTTCTACACTTGCTGGCCCCTAGTTCTCGGTATGTGTTCCTTTAAAACATCCTGGATGCTCAGTTTAGCCGCAAATCTTCTGGACTGGGAGCTCAGGGAACTCACTCCTTTTCACCTCCTGGAATACTCCTGCTTACCATGAAAATCAATTTGGAGCACGACCCAAAGGCATAGGTGGAGGGGCAACCTCACGCCTGGTTCCTTTGTTTGACATTCCTGACAGCAGCAAAGTAGCTGCTCTCCCTGCTTCAACAACCAGCCTAAAGATTTCAGCCTGTTTTCTAGGAATCATGAGCTGTTATTGTCTGACTAGTAGAAAAAGGAAAGATCTGGCTAAATAATCTGCTATTTGGTCTATGATGCCAGAAATAAGCAAATAAATAAACAAAGAATATAAATAGGTAAATGAATTAATGAACAAATAAATAAACAAACAAACAAATAAATGAATAAATAAATATATTTGGGCTGACCTGGCCAATATTGTTTTACACATACCCTTCATGAGATCCATTCTCATCTGCCACAGTCCAGGTCAAGTCAGATAGCCTTACAAGTTCCATATTGTTAAGTCAGATGAAAGAGTACACAATTGCCAAATATGGCACCTTGAACCCCAAAGCAATAATCCTTCTCAGAATCACAGAACTTCAAAACTGAAAGAAACTTTGCTGACCATCTTGTCCACCCTGTACCTGAAGAAGCGTTCCCTCTATAGCTCATCAGAAACACTGGCCTTTATTTGAAGACCCCACAAGAGGGGAAACATCATCTCTCAAGCCATCCCATTACATTTTTGAATTATTAAGCCCAAACTGACTTCTTTGCAGCATTTTATTTTGCTCACACATCTACCTTTTAGAACCAAACAGATCCAGTTCCATATTCTAACTTTTCACATACTTGAAGACAGTCAGTCCATCAACATGCATTTATTAAGCGCTTGTTCTTTGCCAGGCACAGATATAACATTCCTGCTTACTTTTCTCTTCATTAGGTTAGAAATTTCCCATTCATTTAACCAGTCCTCACCTGGAATAGATGCCAAGTCCTTTCACCATCATAGCTGACCTCTGCATACTCTCCAGATTATAAATATCTTTCTTCACCTGTGGTCCCCAGAATTGAACATGATACTCTGGGTGAGGTCAACTAAGATAGTACTATGGGAGTAAATTTCATCTCCTTACTCCTGGAAGCTTTTCCTCTTCTAAGAAGAAAGGGCCAGGCGTCAAATGATGCAAAAATGTGCTTGGTCTTTGGAGAAATTCTTAAATTCTCATCCTCCTAATGTGAGACCCAAGATCAAATTAGCATTTTGGGCTCTCATATATCTTCTTGGATTATATCTTCCCCCCACCCCCATTCCCTTCTTCCCTTACCTAGGGCATCCCAGGTGATAGTGAGAGAGCTATTTCATTTTTCTTACACTTAATTAAATTTTGTTAATGCTAACATTTTAGAAAGGTCCAAGCTCAGATAACTAAGGAAGCCCAATGGTTTATGGAACAGACCAGGTCAGTGGCACAGAATGGAATGTTTTAGAGCTGATCACTTTTCCTTTTCCCAATGTGGAACTGCCAACATAGAAGATAAAGGTCATTGTATGGAAGAAATTTTTGTTTGTTTGTTTGTTTGTTTGTTTTTGGGGGGGGTGGATCCAGAGCTGAGATTTCATGGGTGTTAGGGAACGGTCAGTATGGAGAACTCCTGGTATCAGAGTCATAAACAGGGTAGGGAAACTGGGGCTCTTCCCCAGGGCACTAAAACTGAGAGGGTGCTAATGGTATTTGCTGCCCTTCGGCAACAAAAAATCAACTGAACTCAGCAGCTAGCTGGTAAAAATAATGAATTAAAATAGAAAGGTTTCAGGAGGTGTTTCCTCCCCAAAGGGCCAAACACCAGGTGAGTTTCTCCCTGTCTCATCCTGCTGCGCTTCGTGGTCCCTATCACAACTTCCTAAGTAGTGGCCCTGCTGGTTCTGAGTTTCTACCATCCCCCTCCTTCTTTGTTTAGGACACATTTCGCATCTAGTACTGAAGGTCCATTGTAGATCAGCATCTGTTCCGAAACTCGGAGGCCTAGAGAGTTTTCTCAGAAAAGTCAAGTGACTTACCCAAGATAATACAGCCAGTATGTTTCAGAGGCAGGACAGGAACCCAGGGCTCCCTGATTCCAAGGGCCATGCTGCCTCTCTTAGTAGAACTGAAGACTATTTTTTTTTTAATTAGCACATGGCTACCTTATCAAGAAGCAAAGAAGTCACTCAGAAATAATCTGAGTCCCTGATTCTCACAGTGCTGAACATGTGAGGGTAAGCTATGCAAAAAGCAATTTCACAGACAAAAGGAAGCATCTTCTTAACATGGGATAACACATTGTTTTAGGTTTTTCACTTACCCAGGAATTAATTAGTTTTTTTTTTCCTCCTGGTAAAAATATCCTGCCCTGGGCACCAGCATCGGGCATAATCATATCATTAGTCAACCCAATCAGATGCAATTGCTTTCCTAGGGCCCTTTGCTGATTGACTTCAGGTCTGAATCAGCCCTTACTTAACTCTGGGCCCTGAGTCTGTTAGCCAAGTAGCTCCAGATTCCATTGGCCTGGGATTTAGGCTAACCATCTCCCAGCTTTTGAGGTCAAGGCCAGAAGACATCAACTCCCTTTTGCCAAAAATCTCAGGAAACACTGACCTAAACCATACTCACCAGTACTTCTAAATATAATAGTAACCTTTGACCCCCACACATTAAGTGAAGCAATTATGTAATTAAAAACAATTATGTCATTTACCAGAGGTTTTTTTTTTTTCAAGAGACAAAGCAGGACAATTACTCCAATCACTGACCTCAGCCCATTTCCCAAAGTAAGCTGAAATGATTAAGCTTTGGACGAGCATCAGCCAAAGGCTGGCATCTTAGGGTTTCCCCAGGGATGGCAAAAGACAAGCTTCTAGACTCAGGTCTCATGGTTGAAAAGAATAACTACTCCCTCCTTCCCTTCAATGTAGTCATCTAGCTCAGCAGTAATGATACTAACCTCCCCCCCACCCTCCAATAAGGTGCTCAACTTGGCAAAGCATTCTTTGTCTGCCATTTTATCTTCATTTCAAAATAACCCACCGAGATCAGCAGGGTAGTTGCCAAGACCCCTATTTTAAGCTGCAAGTAATGAAACCAAAGCCGTCAGAAGCTGGCTGAGACCTCCAGCCTTGGCTAAGGTCACCTATCTAGTTAGTGGCCGAGCTGGTCCTAAAACCCAAATTTCAGTCCCTGATCTTGTGTTCTTGAATCTTAAGCCTTGGTACCTGCTTTGAGAGCCTACCTGAGCCTCAGTTTCTACCTCTTAGAACTGAGAGACAGATGATCTATAAAGTTTCACTCTTACAGCTCTATGATTCTTTCTCTGAAATGGGTTCAATAAAAAAGAACGGGGGTGCTTGACAAGAGGACCGCGTATGAGAAAGAGCACAGGACTTAGAATAAGACATTAACTAGCTATGTGACCACATATAAGTCTCTTAGCCTACAGTTTACTTGGTTTACTCCCTTGTACCATCTTAAAGCATGACAAAAATGTCAGCTGTTTTGGTTATCAGGCACCACCTGATAACAATAACCATGACAAAATAACAATGACTAATGACAATCACAATCATTTACAACTGGCACTTGAAAGTTTCCCAAGTGTTTTTCATACGCTTCACAACAACTATGTGGCGTCTAATCTGAGTCCTTGTGGCCAGCAGGGTCTGTTGCAATGTCTGCAACATAGTAAGAGCTTAATAAACGCCAGCTGTATGAACGAACAGGGGTGAACACGGCCAACCATGTTTTATTATTATCATGGATATTATCACTTCTTGAGGTATCGGTTTCTCCTATTTTAAAGATGAGGAGACTGGAGCAAGAGAGAAGTCAAGTGATTTGGCTGGTGGTTACACGGCTAGCGAATAATAAGACGTGGGGTTTGAATTCAGATCTTCTTGACTCCGAGCCTAGCATTCTATCTTGTGGCCTCCCATGGTCAATGGGTCATCTCCTGAGGGGACCAGGCTAAGGGCTGGCTCTGGAGGTACAGGACATAGATGGCTTCAAGTCCCATCTCTGACTCTTACACCTGGGAGCCCTTGGGAAAGTTACTTCTGCCACCTTGGGGCTCAGCTCTTCTATCTTTCAATGAGGGCGTAGGACTGATGACCTCTAAGTTCCTTCAAGCCTTTGATCTAAGGTTCTTTGATCTCCTTGGGGCTCATTTTTCTCATCTGTAGAATGACTGGACAATCTCTGGGATCCTTTCCAACTAGGTCTTATGTTCTTCTTGCATCTTAGTAATTGGGCCAGATGACCACGGAGGTCCCTTCCAATCCTTAACTGGTTTTATAATCTCATTGGGCCTCAGTTTCCTTCTCTGTAGCATGAATGGAGGGGGTTGGATTAGACTCTGAGGTTCTCCCCTGATCAATATCTACAACCTCTTCAAAAGGAAGAGAGGAATGGCCAGGGGCATGTTCCCCGTGGGTGCCATGGCTCAGCCTTCCCTGTCCCTTTTTCAGAACTTAAGGATATGGGGTGGTCTGAAAGCGGATGAAAGACAAAGAAGCGATATCTTCAAGACCAGCTGTCTACAACTTGCACTTGATGAGAAGGCAGGGATTAGCCAACTGCAGCTCTAAGCATAAACATCTCAGCTTTTCTGCTGAAGATGCAGCTTCGATGCTTGCTTGCTCTTTGAGTTATTTCAAGAACATACCATTTTATGGGCAAGAGGAAGCCTTTTTCATCCATAAAATGATTTTTATCACAAACTAAACATTCTTG